TTTTCCTTCTTTTTTCCTTGAACGGAGTTTGAGCCTCTCCTTTATTTGCCTGAGACACCTACATTTTAGGCTGCCCAATCAGATAAGATGCTATAGTGTATGTATGCATTTTGACAAGGCTGTCACAAATCCAGAAGTCTTCCACTACACAAATGCACTGTTGCTGTTTAACACATCCATAGTGTTTCTAATCCTAGATGGAAGCATCACGCTTACGGACGACGGGCAGCGCAGTCATTCTGAGCATCTGCCCTCGTAGGAAGCACAAGACAGACCTACTACAGGTTCCTTTTATGAGAAGCTTCACGTGCTCTGCCATCCAAGAAATCATTACGGTGTTAGATTTGGTGTGTATGTAGAGACCATCCACGTAAAGTTGTGCAGAAGATCTCTGCTTTCCAGAATGGGAAATCTCAGAGAGTACTATCATCACTATTAAAGCTGACCAACTTCAGACAGGTTTGAAAGAGTTTGCACTAACTCCTCAAACCATATTTGTAATATTTGTCTCAACATTTCAAGTGCGCACACATGCCCATACAGAATGGAAAAAGCACAACAACAGCACCCTAAATCCTCCTACCCTCGCTCCCCCCAAAGCCCACTCAGAGGCTGGGTTAATGTCAATACTAACAATCTTCTTGTCTAGAAAAGAGGTTAGGAAATTCAGTTATAGACTAATATAGCCAGCTAAGACAGTTTTTAAGCTAGTGGGAAGCAAAGGAAGCATGCCAAGGGCAAGAGCCAAAAAGCCACTCTCCCTAGCGAGGCATCACAATCAAACCCAGTGCAGAACATCACCATGTCCCTTCTAAACTATATTTAGTATTCTAGCTCTGGCCCCTGTTTCACTATCCATCATCATCTACTAAATTAGATATTTCAAGCACATGCTTATATATTATTGACTGCAACTGTAAGCTTGTCCCTAAGTGGTGGTCTTTTCCAAGAGAGATTAATTTAAGAGTGTGTTTAACTGTTTGCTATTCTCAATTGCACAGCACTAGCAATTATTTTCTTGAACCATGATTTGGAGACATTCAGTTTAATGTGATTAATACACAGCTTGCATTCTGTTTTTAACAGTAAATAAGCCTCAAAACTCAAATTACTCCAGATTATTATTTAGCAAATCTTTACAACAAAAAGACAATACATCAGACTTAAAAATTGCAAACAAAAAGCTTCATTTTGAATAATTTTGTTACATATTTATGCATCTTCTGAAAAGAGAATGATCAGCATTTTCAGAAATACCACTCTTAATTGTGCACATTCCTTCTCATTAAAAAGAAAAAAAAAAAAAAAAAAAAAACTATTCTGCAGGGACATAAATGTGACAAGGAGAAAAGTGCTTCTAGCTTCTGATTCCTTCAAATTTACGAATCCTTTTCACAAACTCTGTGCTTCTTTACATTATTGATGATATTCCTCTGCTTATAAAATCTAAATCTCAAGTCTATTTACTGAAATTTTCTCCTCTCTCTACCACAGCACTAACAATTCAACAGCCATTCCAGATGGACTGCATCAAAATAAAGCTCTGTAGACCTCTCTATAAATAAGACATTTGAATGCTGTTCCTCAGTGCTGCAATGCATAGTTCCACATTACCATTACGACATCTTATGTCAACGTTCCACACCGTAACATGACGGTATTTCATGGATATATTTGCATAACAGGCATAAAGAAGGGAAATTGTATTCCTCTCCCTTTTAGGAATGGATTGAGGACCAAACATAACAAAGGATAATCAGAAATGACTCTACTAAAAGAACTTTTCAAGTAGATTTTACGTTTTCCGTTCACTGCATGAAAAATAGAAACTGCCCTGAAGTAGGCTTTTTCTTTCCAGGATTCTTCCTTTGATATGAACACCTTAACCACCAGACAGTAAGTCACATTTACTTTTATACTACCTCTAGACCATCCTTCTCTGTACAATGGAACTTCCGAAGGAGGGGTAAACACTGTCTCCACCCAAAATAAGCTAGTAAGTCAGTATAGTCTTTAATGAGCTAGGAGATGAGTCTGCACCTTCCTATTAACACTAGCTTATTGACTCATCAGTCATGAGAGCACTGCAAGCTTTTCTTGCTATGCTTTTCAAAAATTAATGACCACACTCAGAATCATTGTGCAACACACCCAATCTTGCAGATGTAGTAGATGTGTGCTGAGAACTCATACTAGATAAAGCCCCAGAAAGGGACAAAAGCAGAAGAATGCCTAATTTCTGGCTTCTGGGTGGAGTTCAGCATGAACACATTGTTCAGCCATGTGGCGGCTGGGACGGTTCTGGGCATGCACAGAAGTGCAAATCTAGGCACCCTGTAAACTTTAAAATAAAAAAGATCCCTCCAAGACTGGGCGAAAGTTCATCAAGAATTTTCAGAATATTGATTTTGGACTGTGTGACCTCAATTTGGCATATTTATACATCAACATCCTTTTACTGGATCTCACCCTGCACAGTAGTCTGTGACATAAAGGAGTATGACTCTAGGTTGTCTAAAGCCTCAAGCTAGCATCAGAAACACGTGGATCTCTCATAAATGGAGCAGCATATACTGACACCATGCAATCATTGATAATAGAATAGTTAAGTCTAAATGCATCAGTATCAATAATAATTTTCAAGTTTCCAGGGAAGATTCTGAGGAAACGCAGTCTGCATTAGCCAGCAGGCCAAGATTTTTTTTTTCCTTACTATACTTTTCTAACAATCTTTTCTCTCCTCCTTCTGAAAGAAAAAGAAACACACACACACACACACACAAAGATGTGTTCAACACATCTGAAGGTTGAGCTTGCCAATTTCAGGAAATGTTTTGTTAAGTGAGGTCTAATTTTTATCTCTTTATAAAAGGCTGGAATCTTGCCATCTTCCTGAGAGCTATTGACTCAAATAATAGCCAGAGTATCACCCTCCTGGTTTTCATCAGCAGAAAAGGATTTGGACCCAACTTTTTTCAACTTTATGCTCCTTCAGCTTCTACTGAACTTAGCAGACAATAAACTCAAAGCAGAGGAGAACAGTTAACTAGTAATAATCACCCTGACTGAATGTTAGTCTTTAACAAATTCAAAATGGTATATTGGAAATAAAGTTATCTTTGTCTGGACAAAAGCTATTTAATGCTTTTTTGTACTACACTGCCAGCTTTTGAGAGTGACTTATACCATACATATTTTATATATCTTTCATAATTTGGACATACATGTCACCAGTCATACGTTACCTGGATACCAAAGGCAAATTTAGTCCATTAGGTTGGTGTTTAAATTTGCCTGTGGTAAATCAGATCTCGGCCTGGACCGAAAAGGCATAGAAAACAAGAACAGTGCTTGCTTACCTTAGTAATGGTCTCCTGTGCCATCCGCAGAACAGATTGTATGAGTCCATCACGTACAGAGCCAGCTAAAGGTTATTGGAGGTTCCTGACAAATAATAACCAAGCTAAGTGTACAAAAACTGAGTCTTCTCTGTCTATTCTTAATCTAAGATGATGAAACTTAAAGATCTTTGTATTCGACTTTTTAATTCCTGTTTCAGGGTCTATAAAAACGTTAATATTTAGCCTAAGGACAGTTCCCTTGAAAAAATAAAAATATAACTCTAGAAAATTAATTACATTTAACTGAACATCTGAAAATAACTGATGAACATCTGTCTTAATATAAATGGGGAATAAGCTATGAGAAGTAATGAAAGGAAATTTAAATTAAAAGGATTTGATTTTTCTGTACTGGCAATGTAGCTTTTAATAATCAATATTTTGATTTCAATGTAAATAGTGCTTTTTCAGTGATAGTATCATGCAGCTGTTAGATTCTGAGTTGTAATTGTAAGATAAAATTTTCAAAAACAAATATATGGTTTAAAAGTTGAATACGTATCTCTTGAAACCCTCAAGAGATTTAGATTCTAAGTCACTTAACAGCTTTAGAAAATGTTGCCTATAGTCAGAATGCTTAACTTAAGGTTTTGTCTTATTTTCCTAACAGTAGGTGCGTGGATACCATTCTACATGAGTAGAAATTACACTGTGCGTAATAATCAGGTGCTGAAAATGAAAAATAGGGAAAACCTGTAATAGGAAGAAGGGAAGAGAGATGTGATTCTCAGTAAGTCAAAGCACAAGAGTGAATATTCGTGGGCCTTACAGAGCTAAACTGAGAAGGATTTGGAAAGGTATAAGCGATGAATGGCAGGTTTACAGGAGTGCATAGGCAAAAAGCTGCTAAATAACAGGGCAGGCAATTCACCAAACTTACCACAAGATGGCATGAAACATAAAAATTATCAGCAATACAGAAATAAAATGAACGGTATACTATAATGAACATAAAGAAACACAAGTTATAACAACTGAATGTATTAATGACTCTTGTCAGGGCGAGGGAAGCGCATGAACACATGTGAATACAATGCCATTATGCAAAACTGTTCTACATTTTATAACACATGCTTAACCAAATCATGAGTGCCAGCCTGTATTAGTCTGTTAAATTACATACAACCATATATAATGGCGAGGTGACATATAAGGTGCCTAGAAACAAGTTTACGTAGGACCAGGAAGACAGAAGAGAGGTAAAGAGAAGGTGGGTGGCATCTCTGGTGAGAAACCAGCCCAGACGAATCAGGACAACCTAATATGGGTGAAACAGGGTAGAAGGAAGTGTGGGTGGTGAGCTGAGAAAGGCTAAGCAGCTCACACTCAACCAAACTGAATCAGTAGCAATTTGAGACACGAGGAGAACAACTGGATGGGTGAGTGCCAAGCTGGACGGATGGCGGGCAGGATAGCAAGCAGAAGCGGACAAAAGGCAGGGATAGAAATCAAGAGATCTGTGTGTTTTTGTGGCTTATAGTTACCACACAAACCCCCAAGTTTTCAGAAATCATCAGGAAGATTTAGAGGGAGGTTTTTATTTTATTTATATCTATAAATGTATATATGTTCTATAAATGTATATATGTACATGTTTTTTCTTTTGTATGTGTGTGCGCATGTGTGTGTGCACGCGCATGAGAGAGACTGATAAACAACTTGTTTCATTTTTCTTGATTTCTGAGCTATTTGGTGAATTCAAAGCTTCTTTTCTGAACTCATCGGGTCTAAATATATGTTCACCTGAGATGAGATTCTTACCGTAGTCAAATCAATCCCAAATCTAAGACTTCAAGATAACACACCAAATATTGTTAGATTTATAGCAAAACTTCGTGAATTGGGAATTTGTAATTGTGCCCACTACAACCACCTGGTTGTGATACAGGAAATGCTGTTTCCTATCCATTCTCCTTACCCAAAGGGCACAGAAGTGAGAGGCTGCAGGAAGGAGGTTCATGCTTTTTAGGGAAGAGGTAAGAGGGAATAAAGGAAAAAAAAAAAAATAGAGGAAAGTTTCCTGAGTAGGACACTAGGAGAAGGAGGGTCATTATTTCAAAGAACAGTAGATCTTGGCTCAGATGCTTTGACTGCATACAGATCAGTTACTATGGAATTGATTTATAATTTTTTCCACTAAGCTTTAACAGGAATTTAGAACTAGCCTTGAAAACTGAGTCACTTTCATGTAAACTAGCACATCTGATCACTCATTTTTTAATTAACTCAGAACAACAGCATAGCAATATATGGAAATTAAAGAGCTTCAAAGACTGAGGAATTTTGCTTTGCATGGATATCCAAAGGTCCCAGTAATTTCAATGGACTCACTTCTCTGTGTTTAGAAAAACTTCCAAGAAGTCTGAACTATTCCAGTATTCATAGAAATTGCAATGAATTGCACCTGTCTCACCATTGCAATGAAACTTAGATTATCAGTATTCTCAGCATGCCCAATATGTCTGAGAAGGAGGGTTACTCTCCACTGCATTTTTCTCCAGATAATAATCCAGGAACTGGAAAGAGCTGTCTGCTCTCCAGTATGACATATGATCAGGACTTCAACTGTCTGCAAGTTGGTCAAATCTAACATACAAGAACTTCGCCCACAAGCTCAAAAGTAGCAGGATCTTCCCAACAGCCTACTCATACGAAAGGCTTCGAACGTATCCCATGTCATGACAGCAGCTATGTTATTCTTGCATATCCAGAAATGGCTTGGCAAAAGACAGCCATCCTACTGGTCGGGGAGACAAGTTAGGGCTACGCTGTCTGTAGATCATATCCAGGAAGAGGGGCCTGCATCAACTTAACAAAACATTTTATCTTCTCCAACAAGCATGGAATGTGCAAATCTAGTAAGTATACAACATATGCCATCTATATGAGAAAATAAATGAGAAAACATCATATGCCATATTTCAATTGTGTAAGAAATTCCTCTTCATTATCAACAAGTACACAAAAAAACATCCATATGAATATCCACTTGAGTCTTTAACCTTCACAGATCTTAACTGGTCTGCAGAAGGTAACTGCTGTGCCCTTCAAATCTTTGCAGATCCACACTGACAGAGGTACAAGGTGACAATGAACGGAGAACCTGAAGGACAGCAGTCAGGACTTTCCTGCCTAAACTCCATGGAGGGAGGCATAGAAGTAGCGTCCCGTTTAGCTGTTAGTTTTCATACGTCCTATAGCAAATCCAAAGACACAAAGCGGTGGGATGGTGGGATCTGTGACTGTGGAAGAAAAGATTATCTTCTACTTCGCAGAAAAGAAGGAAAAATTTGCAAATGAACGGTTGTATGACGCCATCTGCATCTAAAGATGTGAGAACAAAAGGAACACTATTACCAGAAAAAGAGTGAAATACCTCTACTTCTTCTGCAATTTGTCTAAGTAAGTATGGATATTTACCACAAGATGGTGCAAAAACATAAGAAGTCCTAACGTACCAGAAGGACACTGCTGAACATTTTCTGTTTAAAAAAAAAAAAAAAGTATGAGAATCTCCACCAGGTGTCAGCCCAGGGAAAATATGAATGACTTTTTTACTTAAGAAAACAAGTAAATACAGGCAAACTGCTTCAAAGCATAACTGTTGGTCTGAACTTTAACTACATACTTCACTGACCTAGAAAGAATACAACTCTCAACACACACTAGTTTGTTAAATATTAACCATCTACATTATATGTCTTGTTGAAAACCTTATGTCACTAGCAAAGAAGGTAAAAAATAGAAACGCCGCATTTAATAATTTAATCTAGAACACTTACCCAAGAAACGGCACCACAGCTTTAAAAAAAAAAAAAACAGCAACGGCAAAGCAAACAAACCAAACCCCAAACTAAGCTTCAGTAAATTATATTACAATTATATTCAAACAATTATATTCAAAATTATTAACATAGGAAACTTCACGTTGACAGAAATTTAAATGCTTGCTTTTGCATAAAGCCTCACTTTTGGAAACAAGATTATTAAAGACATTCCCTGATGCCAAGCCGATTTTTTTTAAGTCATTTAGAAAATGGATGAGCTGCATCTTTTGAGTCTGTGCAGCGAATCCAAGGATTCACTTAAAATTATAAACCACTGTTTGAAAGACACTCAGAACAGACTCTCCTTCATCCTTGGGGCAACTTCTGCCCTCACCCCTCAGCGAGGGCGCCGGCT